TATACTACTGTAGACGCGTTGCTTAGTGACATGAGAAAATATCTACTACAAAAAAAATCTGCAGTAGCTCTTCAATCACGTTTACAGAATGTGAAACAGGGACATAGGTCAATAGAGGCGTTTGGTAACGAATTAGAAGATCTTTTCTCCAATTTAACTTTAGCACAGGCAGACGGAGATAGCTCCAAATACAATGTGTTAAGATCGATAAATGAAAAGGTAGCTATAAAACGATTTGCAGATGGGTTAGCAAACTCCAGACTGAGTATCATTATTGCATCAAAAGAATTTGATTCTCTCCCTGAAGCGATACGTACTGCTTTGGATGAGCAAACACTCTCAAGTAGTAACGAGCAGGTCATGAATTTTCGACATAACTCCAGAAAGGTTTCGAGACCTTTCTCTAGAAATAATAACGTGTTTCGCGATAGAAACATTAATTATAACAATTATAACTCGCGCATGCGATATGGTAATAGGATCCAATCGCATAATGACACTGCGCCGCGCACGTTCGCGCCGGCGCCACCGCAACATAATTCCGGCCGCGACCGAAGTTCATCCTTCCCGGCTAAACGCTGGTCTGCGCCACGCGTTCGTTCTCAGACACACTCGCGAGGCTATCCCCGTGTCCATCATACATATTATGACACGTCGATAAATCAAACCGAAACTCCTAGCACCAGTGGGAGTCAGTTTTTTCGTTCCTCAAACGAAAAATGAACACTTAGTTTTAAACTATAATACGACTAGTACGGTATCATTTAGCATTAACAATAGGTTAGTAAATTTATTAATAGATACTGGTGCCAGTTTATGTGTAATTAAATACGAATGGTTAGTTCGAGTAATAAGCGATTTAAATAATAAAATTATTCCTGAAAAATTAACTATTAGAGGCGTTAGTGGTAGGTTAGTGTCAGAAGGATACATTTATTTAGAATTAACTAGTAACGGGTTGACATTTAGACATAGATTTTATATATTTAGGAATCTGTCTTGCTCAGCAGACGGAATTATAGGTGATAACTTTTTAAAACGATATTTAGCATTAATTGACTATAGTAAAAGCATTATAAGTTTAACTCATTTAAATAAGACCGTAAGTTTATCAATAAATAACGGGTATAAACATATGATCCCCGCGAGGTGTGAAACTATTAAGTACATACCTACTAACATAAATGACGATTGCGTTGTACTCGGGAATGAAATAAGAGACGGAGTGTTTATTGCAGGTGTTATATCAAAACCTAAGAATGGTTGTATTCCAATTAGAATACTTAATACGACAGAAAATGATTTAGTATATGATTTTTCCAAGTTAGAAGTACATAACTTGCATCATTTTGACGTTTGTAAATTTTCGGAATGTGATAATTCAGTTAATCGTATAAAGACATTGTTTGAACTTCTCGATTTACGCTATTTGAACAAAGACGAGCAACTTAGCATTGAGTGTATATGCGCTAAGTATGCGGATGTTTTTCATCTTCCCGGCGACAAACTTTCTGTTACGAACTTAATGGAGCATACGATTACTTTAAAAGAAAATGCTACACCGGTTTATATTAAGCCCTATCGTATCCCGCACGCTTTAAAGTCAGAATTACGTAAACAAATACAAGATATGCTAGATAACGATATAATAGAGGAGTCCACCTCGGAGTGGTCTAGTCCTGTATTACTTGTTCCCAAAAAGAGTGATAAAAATAATGAAAAGAAGTATAGGCTCGTTGTCGACTATAGGCATTTAAATAATAGAATTTATGACGACAAGTTCCCACTTCCCAATATTACAGATATTCTAGATTCCTTATCAAATTCTATATATTTTTCAAAATTAGATTTATCTCAAAGTTATTATCAATTAAACTTGCACAAAAATTCTAGAAAATACACTGCTTTTCAGTTAGATAAAATGTATCAGTTATCTCTTCATCCTGATTCACGTAAGTGCACCGCTTTCACAGCTGATAAAATTTACCAAATGAAGCGATGCCCCATGGGTCTTAAGACTAGTCCTAGCGTATTTTCCCGATTAATGACTATAGCCATGTCAGGACTGAATTATAATAAATGCTTTATTTATCTAGATGATCTTATTGTTATAGGAAAAAATATAGAAAATCATAACAAAAATTTAATATCAGTATTGGAACGACTAAGAAAAGTTAATTTAAAGTTGAATCCCTTAAAATGTGATTTTTTGAGAACAGAGATAGTATATTTAGGACATAAAATAACTAGCCAAGGTATATTTCCTGACCCAAGCAAAATAACAACATTACAAAGTTATCCGACACCGGCAAGCGTCGATGACGTACGAAGGTTCATTGCCTTTGCAAACTATTATAGACGATTTATTTCACATTTTGCTGATATTGCATATCCATTGAATAAACTTTGTAAAAAGAATGCTATATTTAAGTGGACATCAGATTGTGACGAGGCGTTCAATAAATTAAAATCTGCATTAATTAAACCCCCAGTTTTAGATTACCCAGATTTTTCAGAAAATAACATTTTTAAATTACAGACAGACGCGTCAAGAACTGGATTAGGTGCGATATTGTCTAATGGCAATGATAGGGTCATCGCATACGCAAGTAGAAGCTTAAAGCCCGCTGAGACGCGTTATCCTATTATAGATCTAGAACTGTTAGCCATCGTTTGGGCAGTAAGACATTTCAGACCTTATTTATATGGTAGGAAATTCCAAATTTTAACAGATCACAAGCCTCTTATCTATTTATTTTCTATGACAGATCCTTCCAGTAGACAAACCAAGTTTCGTCTATATTTGGAGGAATATGATTTCGAGATAGGTTATGTTCCAGGACGACAAAATGCAGCTGCAGACGCATTGAGTCGTATCCCGGTAACTTCTAGCGATTTGAAAAATATGCGTGAACATGAAGTATCCGTGCTCACGAGAGCACAAACAAAAATATTACTAGAAAAAAGTAATAAAAATTCTGATTTTGACTCTAGTAACAGGCTTGAAAACTCGCGAATCCGTAGGACTGATCACCCTATGGCCATAGAAATTCTAAAGCCGCCACAGGATATTATTGAACTATGTTTTATTAATTCAAAGAAATATGATAAAATAAGAACCGATGAAGTTATTAAGTCTCCAAATGAGAATTGTTTATATATACCAAAGCGGTCAATAATTTACCTAAATGCTCGATCGTTATCAGCCGTAGAAGCGTTAGCGAGAGATTTAGAGAAATTTTGTAGTCAACTAAATATTTTAGAACTACTTATAATTAAAAATAAAGTTTATGAAAGTCATATAAAGTTACTTGCAAGTACGATTAAAAAATTGAAACTAAGTAAACCGCGCTTATTAATAACTAAAGTTGTTGTTCGTATTACAGATGAAGATAATAAGAAAGTTATACTAAATGACTTCCACTTGTTACCGACTAGCGGACATGCTGGAATAAATAGGATGTTAAATAATATAAAAAAATATTATTTTTGGCCAGGAATTACAAATGATGTCATTAATTATGTAAAAACATGTAAATTGTGTCAAGTGAATAAATTCACTAATAGAAATGTTAAGGAGCCTATGACGTTGACAACCACTGCAAATTCGACATTCGAAAGAATTAGCCTAGATATTGTAGGACCGTTAGAAATAGATGAACTCAATCATAGATACATACTTACCTTACAGTGCGATCTGACTAAGTTCGTTGAGGCATATCCCTTACAACGAAAAGATGCTGAATCAGTAGCAAAAGCCTTTGTAAATAATTTTATTCTTAGATACGGTATACCAAATGAAATAATTACAGATCAAGGAACGGAATTTCTTAACCAAATCATGTCAGAAATTTGTAACTTATTAGGCATTAAAAAATTGCAATCGACAGCATATCATCATGAAACTATCGGATCCTTAGAAAATACACATAAACATCTTGGTGCTTTTCTCAGAATACAGTGTGAAAATAACAAAGGAAATTGGAGTAGTTGGGTTCCGTATTGGTGTTTTTCGTTTAATACATCTGTCCATACACAAACAAAATATACTCCTTACGAACTAGTATTTGGAAAAAATTGTATTTTACCTAGTAATTTAAATAATTCATTAACTCCATTATATAATTACGATGACTATCCCAAGGAACTTAAGTATAGATTACAAAGAGCATTAAATGATGCGCGAAACAATTTACTGAACCAGAAATTGTGTAGAAAAATAACCTTTGACAAGAATATTTATCCAATCTCTTATAAGAAAGGAGACTTAGTTTTGTTAAAAAATCAACTCGGAGATAAATTAGATAACGTATATAATGGCCCCTATGAGGTGATAGAAGATTTATCACCAAATGTTAGAATATTAAAAAATAATAAAGAGTGTTTAGTACATAAAAATAACACTAAGTTTTTCTATGATGTTACTTAACCCTTATTTAGTTATTGTTTTGATTTTGTATGATATTATTAATATTTAGAAAAAAAAAAAAATATGTTCGATGTGACACATTTTTTTTCCTTTTAGGGAGGGGGTGTAACATACATTTTCAGGGGGCGTGTAATAGTATGAAAATAATTAAATAACAAATTAAACTTTTTATTTTACACAGTGAAACTAAAAGTGGGTCACATCAAATGCTGACATTTAATAATTATAATTTAGGTGTAATTGTGTTAAGTATATGTGTGCGTGTATTAGTATAATGTTGATGACTATATAAATATGGAAATTGATTTGTAATGCTCTTTTTTAATAAACCAACATCAACCTAACAATGTGTTTGGATTTCACCTATAATTAGCAAGCAAGATACCTCAATTTATTTTCAACGAAATTAGAACAGATTCCCATGAAATATATTGACAATGTGTTTATAATATATCAAACAATGATTTAAAATAGTTTTCAAAAAAGTGTCAAACACCCTATTCTCTGCTATGGCGCAGCTTAATAAATGGGGATTCAAAGATGACCTTTATGAGTTTCTCCCAAACTAGATTACTTGGCTTCCTAAAAGCTTAATCCACGTAGGTGATGCTTCCAGACTAACGGTAAAATATAATAACAGTTAAACAAACGTTCATTAAAATTGACATTAGTTTAATTCCACATTACCCATAATTTTTTTCAAATTTAAAACATTCATTAGAGCTTAAAATCGTTATTATATGATTTTAAGCTCTAATAGACGTTTGTATAACAGACCGTAAGTCATACAAAAATATGCAGTGATTAAAAATGTAACAATATAACTCAAAGCAGAGATGAAGAAGTAATTTTGATTACATGTATTATTAAAAAATAAAACAAGTATCGTGTAGTCTTAGTTTATTTTTCAGAAAATAACAATTGCCTAGTTGTATGAAATAAAATTACATCAATATATTATTTAGTAAGGTTTTATTTTTGAAGTTTATCATGTGTTTAATAGATAATTTTAAAGAAAGAACGTATTGAGAGCGGCGACGTTAAAATATAAGATTAAAGGAAATAACGAAAGCAGCTCGAATATTACAAATTTAGTACCAGTTGAGGTAGGTGAATTTTTGTAAAAGTTACATAACTTTTTTAACTGGAAGGAATCAAACAATTTACATACATTTATAGTTCGTTTTAATTACTATTATTACAATTTATTCAAAATATCTATACTCTCAGTTACAGCGGTATAATGGATCTCATATAGTTTCACTTACATACAAAGGCGTACCGCACGTTTCGAGGCGCATCCGTTTACCACAAGGTAAAGCGAGGAGTCCAATAAAGAAAATTATAACTTGCAAAACCGAAAGATCTTTCGGGTCAGCGTCGACACCGAAGCGGTCGTTCCCTTTCGATAACGGGCGGAAGGTCGCGTTCACCCCGAGCTCATCTTGCAGAGGTGGCGCAGCTGCATAATCTTGATGTCGTCCGTGCCGAACTTGACGACGCCCTCCTGGTTCTCTATGGAGATGAGTTGGCCGACCGCCTCGCGGTCCTCGCCCGCGATCACCTTCACCTTGTCCCCGCTCTGCGGCACGACGGGCTCGAGCAGGTCCGCGAGCACGTTCACGACGCGGTCCTCGAGCGGCAGGTACACGGCGCACATGCCCGCCGACAGCCCGCGCAGCACGCCCGCCTGCCCCGCCAGCGCCGCGTCCTCGTGCGCGCGCACGCGCACCTCCACGTCCGGCGTGTGCCACTCGCCCGCCGCGCCCCCCTCGCCCGCCTCGAACGGCGACCGCGGCGAGTAGCCCACCGGGCTCGGCGTGCCCAGGTACCCCGCCGGGCTCGGCTGGTACGGGCTGTACGTGTGGTCCGACCCGTACATCGTGCCCGGCGTCTGCGGCGTGAACGGCCCGCCCGCCTGCGAGTAGCTCGCGGGCGGCTCGTACCCGGGCCCCGGCGAGTCGTCCAGCCCGTAGTCGAAGTCGGGCCGCGCGGGCGTGTTGGCCGCCGTCGGGTCCCACGCGCCGTGCGCCGGCGTCCGGCCGCCGTCGTGCGACGGCGTCGCCGACCCGTAGTGCGGCGTGCGCCCGCCCGCGTCGTAGATCGGCGTCTGCGAGCCGTGCATCGGCGTCTTCGCGCCCGTGTCGCGGTACGTGGGCGTGGCCGCGCCGTGGACGGCGGGCGTGCGGCCCGGCGTGCGGAACGACGTGCCGCCGGCGGGCGCGCCGCCGGGCCCCGCGCCCGCGATGTGCCCGCGGTCCACGGAGATCGTCTGGCAGGTGGAGTGCAGCTCGACGCGCGCGGTGCTGCCGGTTGCGTCCTTGATGATGCCGACGTTGCCCTTGTACGGGCCGCCGGTGATCTTGATTGTCTGGCCGATGAGGTCGCGGTCGCGGGAGGCGCCCCCTCGGCCGGCGCCCCTGCCGCGGGGCGTGTGCCCCCCGCGGGCCCCCCCGGGGTGCGCGGGGGACTGGATCCGCGGGGACATGAACCCGAGCCCGGCCCCGGGCCCGGCGCCGACGCCGCGGTTGCCGCCCGCGAGCTGAAGGTGCCGCGTCTTGCACACGAACACGCCGCCGTTGTCGAGGTACATGCGCGACTGCAGGAACGCGAAATTCCTGTACAAGTGTTTGATCTCGCCGTTCCGGCCGGCGTGGGGCCCGTCGATCACCTTGACGATGTCGCGCTTCTGTATCGTGTTCTCCTCGGAGTCGAGCGCTTTCGTGAATCTGTTCTCCCGGCGCTTCTGCAGCGCCTGCGGCTTGCACTCTATCACTTTGCCCTGCATACCGAGAACGTGGAAATTCTCTTTCTCCAGGCGGACGATGACGCCGACCGTCTGCGGGTCGAGCTGGACCATGTCGCCCCACTGGAACTGGCCGAGGGAATCGACCCCTGTGGCCATGTCGGAGCACAGCTGCAGGTCTCGCGGGAGCACTTCGAGCTCGTGCATGGTGAGATCGGACACCAGGACGACGCGTTGCGGTTCCACTCGGACGATGAGGCCGGTGTCGCCCTCGTATCGACCGGCGAGAACTTTCACGTGGTCGCCCTGCTTGAAGTATTTTCTTAACTCGTTCGGCTTGAACACGAGCGGATCTTTCAACGCGTCGTGCTTGGGCATAACGGTGATCATGGAGCCGTCGATGGCGATAATTCTCGCCTGCAAGTTCGCCAAATCGCCGGAGCAAACTTCGACGTTGTCACCCATCGAGAACGAGTGAAGGCTGGTCGGGTCGTCTTTGGCGGGAGCCGCGAGTTCGATGTCTATACCTTCGGGCTGTTCCTCGAACCTTTCCAATTCCGTCAGTGTCGGTTTCACGCCCTCGGCGAGAATCGCTGACATGGTGAAATTTTTATACAGGAAACCCTTTCTGGAATATCTATTCCCCTCGAATATGAGGAAGTCACCATCTGACGTAACTTCTCCCCCGATCGCCCGAATAGCTTCTGGGTCGAACGGTTTCGCTGCGGGGCGTCTCTTCTTTTTTCTTTTGGCAGCCTCACTTTCGCTTTGAACCGTCCTCAGAGCGCCTCTGAGTCGCGTATAATCTATTCTAGGTAGCAGTTTGAGGTGAACTTGATTTTGGGCCAAATCCACGTAGTCGACCTGAGCTATATCATCTTTATACAAGCCTCTCTTTAACCTAACCCATTGCTTTGGTTTTAAACCAGACTGCTCTTTGACGACTCGTAAAACATCTGTCATTTCTTTAATAGGTACCATGTCTTGCTTCCAGATACCCATTCGTAGAGTGCCCACATTGTTTATGATGTTTTTCACATGAGTTTGTTTGTATGCCTCTATGTAAATATAGCCTTTAACACCTTCTGGTGCAACTACAGATTTTATTTGGAATGGTTCTTCAGAGAACTGATAGGCTATAAACTTTCTCATAAGTAATAAAACTGTAGCCTTTTCTTCGCCTATACGACATTTCACCATCCATAAATTGGGATCTTTGATTCCTGGTAACAATGTCTGTTGAGTAATTTCATCAGACATTTCCTCGCCTCCATCGCCAAAGTGCCTGAGGGCAGCAGATTCGTCTGCATACTTGTTCCTGAGGTATTCTTCGATCTCCTCCTCTTTCTGTGAATCCCAAAGGTTGGCGCCTCTCCTGCGCCCTCTGTCTTCTATTTCTCTAGCAGTAGGTCCGATTTCATCCACCTCATTACCGACAATGCCCATTTCTTGAGCACCTTCCTCCCATTCGTCATCTTCGTCGACTTCATCATCCACCTATGTCAAGAGTAATCAGTTAGGTTGAACAGGGTATTATTATAATATATTCATGAAAGCAAACATGTTGAATAAATGTGTTCTCCGGCCCATCTTAATTATAGGGATTTGAAAATTGTGTTTGACAAACACAAAATATTTGGTATTCATTAATCACAATTTTCTAATTGTTGAGTACTAAACTAATTCATAAAACAAATATTTTTGATGTGTGGTCACTATTTAAAGACAGTGACCATAACCTATTGTGGTAGTGTAAAATAATGAGAATGTTTCGGAAATTACATTTCAGATATCCCTTTCATTTATTAATCAAAGAGTGCATTTCTGACTCACCTCAGCTTCGTCAATAATGAATCCTCCATAGCGGCTGTCTTTTTTGCGTTTTTTTCGCCGCCGTTCTTCCTCTTCGTCTTCATCATACTCTTCAGAATCAACTAAATCTTCACCTTCTGGCTCCTGCTCATCCTGTACATAAGATTTATAGAATATATCCTGTAAATTAATTCAGTCAAAGTCAAAATAATCTTAATTCAAATAGACTTCTTAAAAGTACTTTTGAATCGTCCAAAAAAATTTTCCCTACCGCTCTTTCAGGACGTACATGTTTTGGCTGATAAGGAGAACGAGCAAGAAACATACTAGCTCTAATAGGAGTAATGACTTTTACAAAAACCATGTCATTACATTATATTATAAATAAAGATAGAGAGAAAAAAAAACTATGGTCTTATAATGATAACATAATATTTTAATAATAATGTAAACAAGATAGTTTTTGATATATAATGAGTTAAGAAGTAATCACATATCCAGTTGCTGGATCATCTCAAGTTCAAGCATTCTTATCTGTTATATAATCCGATACTTTATAATAAGATTTTTTAATTAGTATTTTTTTAATAGTAGATTTAATCTGCATGATATCTAATTGTTGTATTTTGCTTGGGATCTTATTGTAGAAGCGCACACAAAGACCCCTGAATGAGTTATTAACTTTTTGCAGTCTAGTGACAGGCACCATGAATTTATTTTTATTTCTTCTATTAAAATTGTGTACATCACTTTTTATAGAAAACAAACTAATATTTTTATGAATGAACATTAAGATCTTGTATATTTATTGAGAAGCAACAGTATGTCATTTCCTTAAATTTCTCCCTTAAAGAGTCTCTAATAATAAGCAGTAAGTAGTAATAATGAGATATCTTCAGAATCATAGAAATATGAGGTGCAAACAGTGTTACCAACCCCACTATTTCAACAGTAGATCTGTTCTCTGTTTCATTACTAATTTTTATGGTTTTCAATTAGCATTCAGCATCATCTATTACAGTATGCAAATATAATCTGAAATATCTGATTGCTTTTCATTATAAGCAACAGCAATGAAGACAATGGAGTAATAAGATTTTAAAAAGGAAAATTAGAAAATACAGAATATGAGGCAACTGAGAAAGAAAGAAAGAAAGTGGAAAATAATTTAGCTTTTTATTTCATTTAATTTTTATTTTATTTTTTATTATATGATTGAGGAACAATTTACGGCAATTTTAAATTATTTTAACATACATGACAATAATATAAAATACAATATCACACTGCAGTGTTTTTTTTTTATACTGTAATCTTAATTTGGATTTTTTAAATTGATATTCATAAAATAATTAGTTAAAGTATGAAGTTTGAAATCATCTATTTATACTGATGACATAACTATTAAATATTAATGAGTCTCACCTCAACTTCTTCATCTCCTGACGCTTCTTTTGCTTCATCATCCTTATTACGACTGGCATCAGAGCCAGCAGATCGACTTCTGAATAACAAAAACTAATTTATCTATTTTATATTTTTATTCATAATTATAATTTTTACAAATAAAAATAATAAAGTGTGAAAATTAAGTCTAAATCAAGTTATAACTTATAAAATAAATAAACTTTTGAATCAAACAATTTTTTCTTCCCTAACACTCATTCTGGGCGTTTTTTGGCTGATAAGAAGAATGTGCCCAACAAACTCACTCGCTCTAACAGAAGTAGGGAGATTTATAACTTTTGGTAATCAATATAAATTAATTATATATAAACAACCAATTTTATTAGAGTATGAGGTAATTTCTATCTCAGAATCTCAAAATAAATTTCCATGCAATAAGTATACACATAATCAGTATTAACAGTTGTGAATATAGTACTCATATGATAGAGGTTTTATTAAACTGTAAAACTAAGATTTAAACAAGGCACTGATGGTGTACGTATAGTAAACTAACCAGTGAGTAGATCAGTAAATCAAGAAAGCAGTAGTAGTTTACATTATAGTATACGAGGTTATGTTTTGATTTTACCTGGAACGGGACTTAGAGCGTGACCGTGATCGCGATCTGGAGCGTGAAGGGCTACGAGATGGACTTCTACTGCCTGAACGAGATCTCGATCTAGAACTTGAACGTGAACGCGCTGAGCGATTTGAGGCAGCACTCCTGCGAGATCTGTTTGACGCTACACTTCCCGCGTCGGATGCGTTTCCAGAGTAATTGCTTCCTTCCGAGTCTGACATATTACACTCTGGACACTACTTTCTGCGTATACAATCCATCCATATATTTTTCTGCGAAATTTTTATTAAAGCAATAGTAAACGTCACGTAACCACAGACCAGTATTATGTATTATCTATGCACAGACCTTATTTTTTTTTTGGTTCAGTTTTCCATTCCTTTTTTTTTTTGTTTATTTATTAACGGCTTTGGCAATATCCATACAGCCACATCTTTAGTACATTGTTCTTTATAAAGGTAAAATATCCTTTTATATTCTACACAACATCAAGTTTTCATATTAAATCAAAAGTTGAAATTATGAACTTGTAAATACATTCGTACGTATCTTCATTTTCTAGTAGCGATGGCAAGAGGCGGGGTATGTCTTCGTCTTTATATATCTTCATTAGGCCATCTACTAGAAGCAACCTTTGGACGTTAAAGGCAGGACAATGCAGAATCAAATGGTCTAATGTAGCTGCTGTTGACTCACAATACTCGCATATATCCGAGGAAACAATTCTCTTCAAGTGTGCTGGGAATTTGCCATGACCAAATCGCAATCTATTAATTGTAGTGATGAACTTTCTTGACGGAAATTTCCATTTGAAATACCAAGGCTTGGGTGGAATTCTTTTTTGAATTTGGGCATACCAATTTCCTTTATAAAGTTTTGTGTTTTCCCACATTTCATGCCAATGATGATACATTCGACACTTCAAAACAGCATTGTAATCTGTGAGCGGAACTGGAGGTGCAAGATAAGGATTGTTATTTAATATTGGATGTTCTATTTTCATTAGTTTGTCCACAGTTTCATTGCCTGTTATTCCTGAGTGAGATGGTACCCATAAGAACTCAATTTCTTTGTCTAGGTTTTCCATTAGTAGCTCTCTGATTTTTGTGATGTATGTGTTATTTTTATACGAAATAGATACGTTCTCCAGACATGTAAGGACACTAAGGGAGTCGGTTATAATCAAAAAATATTTGTTATCTCTGATTCTTCTGATATATTGCAAAGCGGTATAAATGGCATAAGCTTCAGCTGTAAATATAGATGAGTTCATGTCCAAACTAAAACATCTTCCAAATTTAGCTTTTGAATCATAATATGCAGCCTTCGTATTTTTTTCTGTCTTCGAACCATCTGTGTAAATTTTGCGATGTGCAGGTTTTTCAGTGTCTATGAATCCTAGAAACTCCGTATTGTTTACAATTCTAACATGACAAACTTTAGGAGTAGGCAAATGAATTTCTGTTGTACTGAAATCCCAATTAACCCTATGGTCTATGTGTTTACATATCAACTTCAAATCCTTCAAATGTTCACATTGTAAAGATTTATTACATTCATACATATAACAATACATTTTATTTGCTAAAATTCTTATAAACATTTTTCCAAAGAGATACCGAAATCTGACATATATAGGAGGTATGCCTGCTTCAATTTCTAGAGAGTTTATAGGCGTGGAACAGATAGCTCCTGTAATAATTCTTAGGCCCCTATTTTGTATGATTTCTAATTTACGAAACAAAGTTGAATTAATATAATTTCCATAAGCTACTAATGCATAATCATAATGGCTTCTAACTATTGTTTTATATAAAATATTTAAAATTTTAGGATCCATTCCCCAAGTTACACTAGCTAAATGTCGCATTATATTTACAGACCTCTGCATTTTACAGACAATTTTATTTACATGACGATCAAAATTAAGTTTCGAGTCAAACACTAAACCTAAGAACACTTTTTCTTGGACAGTCGCAATATTTACTGAACTATATACAATATTTACAGAATTTAAATAATCATTTTTCTTATTAAATACCAGAACAGAACTTTTATTTGGATTAATATCTAATTTTAATTTGTCTTTGTAATACGAATGAAAGTGACGTAATGCTTCATTTAAAGTTGATTCTGCTTGTAATAAGTTCTTATTAGATGTATACAACACAATATCATCAGCATACTGAAGAACAGATAGTTGTGGGATTGATACAAATCTATGAATTTGTGATGTATATAATAAATATATTAAAGGTGATAATGTCGCTCCTTGCGGTAAGCCCTTGAAAGCCGTTTTAGGACCATGTAAACTGTTATTAAACTTAATGAAAACTGTTCGGGAGTAAAAGAAGTTAAAAATCCATTTACAAATTTTGCCAGGTATATTGCAGCTGTGTAGTATTTCAACTAAGGTTGATAAATCAACGTTATCAAAAGCTCCACTTACATCGAGAAAAGTACTAACTAAATAACTGTCATGATCAAACGAATTCTGTATGTCACCGCAAAATTTTAATATGCTATCTATTGTACTACGGCCTTTACGAAATCCGAATTGATCATGGGGTAAAATTAATCTAGACTCTGCATACAATTCTATTCTTGTTTTTAGCATATTTTCAAAGATTTTACTCACACATGATGATAAAGATATGGGACGATATGAATCAGCACATTTAGGATCTTTATCTGGTTTTAAAATAGGGACAACTGTAATAACTTTCCATGTTTCAGGTATTAACCCGTTGTTCCATAAATCGTTCAAAACTTTTAATAAAATAGACTTAGCGTTTGGATCAAGACGTTTTATTAAAATATAAGGTATATTATCTAAACCTGGGGAGGTATCTTTTTTATTAGTTAAAGACAAGTTAAATTCTGCTTGTGAAAAGGGTAATGCAAGGTGAGAATTGAATTCATTATATTGAAAAAAATATTTTAATTGATCTGTATTAACTGGAGGTTGATAGGGAGCAATTTTCTGTAAAAAATCTTGCAAAAACGTTTCATCTCTGGCTTTCGGTGATGAATTTTTGTGATTAAGAATTTTAACAAATCTCCAAATGCAACTAATTGGAGTATTTCTATCAAAACTAGAGCATAAGTTTTTCCAACTTATTGCCTTCTCCTGTTTAATTATTAATTTTTTCGACGCTTCTATTTTCTTATACAGTAAATA